AAAAAAAAAAAAAAACGCTCATTCTATCGTTGGTAATTCCTTGTAAGGTCAAGATCGCACGACAAGGGATGATCGAAGATTTCCGTTGTTGTTATTGTTCATATGCTGTATCAAAACTGGTCCCCTTTATTTATTATGAGCTGTGTATATAGTATATATAATATATATATGAGTACATCTGTAGCGATGCATATGGACAGGCCATTTGTCAACTTCAAATTGAAGCTAAGCGATAACGTGCATCTTTTCTCATGTAGAAACTCGGTTTAACAACAAGGGACACGAGAGAGGGACATTAGTTATAATATAATTAATTTATTCAGGCAAAAACCTACAAAATGTACATTGAATTAGCTGGATATTTAACCAGCCGACATTTATTGTAAAATGTTTGCTACCTCGACGTCAATTCAGCTTTTTTAATTGTTGTAAGAGATCAAATTTTAATATCTTCCAAAGAGCTATTAAAATGCAAAAAGAAAAAGGAACCCAGTAGTAATGAAATTTGACTTTACAAGGCCTCTTCATACCCTGACTCTGATTAAATATATCCAGGAGACGCCGAGAGTGAAGGATCTTCCCCCTTCTTTTCTTCCCTCATTCGCCCTCTCTGTCCGCCAGTCTTTTCTATCTTTTTTTTTTTCTCCTTTCCTCGTCCTATACTCACAATAGTCTGTGCGGCTGGGCGGACGGGCGTACGTTGACGTCATAGCCAAATTTTCTCGCTACGATAGGTTTCCAATTTCCAATTGAGCAATGGGGAAGCTCCGCTATAAAACGTTTTCGGTGAACACCCCGACCCCAATAAGTCCGTCCCTACTTTTCTGATGGATCCTGCATAAAATTGTGGACACAGCAGTAATGCCATTTTCCCCGTTATTTTAATACATCAATCTTTTACATGAGATATGTTTTCCCTGCAATAATCCCTTCTAATCTGACTAAAAGAGAGTATCATTCAAAATGGTTTTCATTCCGTTGGATTGTTGTCTGCAAAACAAGAAAAATACAAATAAAAAGTTAGTATGAAGGGAAAAAACTTCAAACCGCTTTTGTGGTTTTATTGGATTAGTGTAACGAATCTTTCTGTAATCTTTGCCGATTTTTTCTCATAGAGAAGATAGTTTATATTCTCCGATAGCAAATACTGCAAAGAGAGACTTCACAGCATGGAATTTAAGATTCACTTAGGCATGTTAGAGATATCTGTCATCTAAATCATATTATTAGATAAAAAGATTAAGTTAATAAAATGTGCGGAGGAATTGCATTGCATACTTCTTAGTCCGGCAATTATGAAATCTTGTGTGATGTGACCGTTAAATTAAAGTCTCTTCATTTATTCTTTTATCTGCTATTTATTCGGTATGTAGCTCTAAATCAGAACATTGAGATCAAAGGAAGTTGGCTTTTAACAGACCATGCAGACAAACTCCTTTTTGGCTGACTAGCATGTTTTTTAGGTTAGTTTAATTTGCACTTTCTTTCCGTTCCATACGTGATATCAGTTTGAAGTTTTTTCAAATGGGGGAGGGATGTAACTGGGCTCTAGTGTATCCTTTGCCTCAATTTTACCGAATGGTACCAGCCACTCTCTCTTACGAAACCCCGGATTTGCCTCCGTAAATTGGGAGTCTATAAAAGTAATCCTATGACGTGTGACCTTTTAACTGGAACTTCTTCATGTCGACCAGCAGTACTTCTAAATATAAGCATTTACTCAGAATATGTAGTGCTGCAGTACTAATTTTAAATTTGAAGAATATGCTTAGAATGAAACCCCAGGCTGAGATTTTAGAAAGGATATAATTTTGTGTTTTGAAAATCTGTAAATAGGATACTATTAATAATATGTTTTTAACTTACTCCTTTCTTTAAACGTCAAAACTTGTATTTAATCTAAAATGGAAATGTTATAATCTATACTTGAAGAATATAAATACAAGAATGTTTTCGGCCTAAAAATCGGCAGAAAAATAAGAATGTTTAGCTTGGCCCGGTAAAACAATATTTTTATATATATAAAAAAGAGAGTGTACTAAAGTTTATGAAGAAAACTAAGCACTTAAGCTGCTTACCTTATTTTATACGCTGCCAGGATCGTACTGTGAATCAGTTGCAAAATCCGGATCATATGGCGAGTCCTCCCAGGTGTTTCCAGGGTCAAAATCAAGTTCCTCGTCAATTGGATAGTTTTCATCATACGGTCTCCCGCTTCCAGGATCCATATCAGGTTTAAACTTGCGCCCGGAAATCAGCGCGGAGATAACCAAAAGGAGCAAAACTGGTCTCATCATAGCCATGTGTTATCCCTTTAAAACTGAGAGAAGTTTCCTTTTTAGAAGTGGATCAAATGCAATTTTCTCCTCGTCAGAGGGTAAGCCATGGTTGGATCTCTTATTTAGAGCGGCACTTAAACGAGCAATACTGTATCAATGTTTTTCATTGACATCGAGAATGTAATTACGTAATTTTAATGCTTCGAACTGAGCCAGCACTTTTTATAATTGCTCTTAGAACAGAAGCTGAGTTTTAAACGAGTCCAGGATGTTGTTTCACTTGCTCTGATTGACTTTGCTGATTGACCTTTAGCCTAGGCTCAAGACACCATATGTCACCACAGTTGCTCATTTTTCAGTTAAGGTTGCTCTACAAGTTAAGTTAAACTTAGTCATTTTTTTACTTGTATTTTGATATCTTTTCTTTGTATGTTACAAATTTTCTTCTTATTTAGGATGTAGGCGTTAGTTGTTTTAAAACATTTAGCGGATTAGGAATTAAAGGGACAGTGTCCCGATTATGCGCACGCGCGAGCGTCATCTGTTTTTTCTTCAAAAGACAATAGAACTGTCAAATTGACTCGACAAGATATCCTTCCGGACCGCACCGCCGACAGAGATTTGTTGTTTATTCTCAAGTAATATTTTAGACTTTCGAAGAAGTCTTTCGTCTTATATAAAAATTTGGCTCGCGGTTCGAAGACTCATCGCGATTTTATCGCTAGCTGGGCCGCCTCGCGACCCGAAAATCTCGTTCCGCTCGCTTTAAAAACATATTTTCTAATTTGAAACTCGTGTCAGAGGTCAATCGCTCCAAGTCCAGTAATATCTGCCTGATTTGCTCGCGTTCTAGCCTCAAACGTTTGAAAGACATAAATAAAAATGCAATCTCAACGCTATGAATCATCACAAAGATTAGTCAAGAATGATATTATGATTCATGTCACTAGTTTTTCAAAACGTGTAGCGCCTGTTTGTTCGATTTTGTCGGCCGTAAAGAGATTCATTTAAAAGTTTACTAACGCGTCGTTGCAAAACATTCTGCTTCACGAAGCTCCCCTCCACAAGATCTCCTCAGTCACATCAATGTCTCAACGGTTTCTTTCTTACAGTCTTTATTGTTGCTGTTTCATTTCTGCGTATTCCTTTCACAATTATCTGAGCTTGTATGGAAGCTAGCAGAAGAAATAAGCCTTCAATCGGCATCAAAGTGCTTCCAATCTTTTGGTCCTCCGGCCAACGGCAATAAAAGTAACGCCAAAAAATCCAGATTTTGCCCAAATAAAAACTTAACAGGAACAATATATCATTGATCTATAATCCTGAGAAGTTTTAGTGTCGTATTGAACCCGGCCAAGCGCGATGCAAACGGATTTTTCAAGATTCTCTTACTCTCCTCGCATCTTTTGATTTCGCGACATCCTGTCCAAAAATCAAAGTTTGGTGCATGCGCAGTAACGGGATACTGTTCCTTTAAGAAATAAGCTGGTAAGAAGAACAAAACAGTCATTTCTGTGCTTTGAAAACGAACTGAAATCATGTGAAATGCTTTATGAATCGAGTGTCTTATACTACTTGCAATCTAAGTCGGATTTATAACTAAATTTAATTCATAAGTTTATGACTTACCTCAATTCAATTTCTTAGTAGTTTTCATCGGCTGCAAAAATACGAATGAGCTAAGTGAGGATTATTGCCCGTGTTATATTTGTCTCACTATGATTCCTTGGATACGAAGCATTTTCTACGAAGCATTTTAATTGAGCAAGGAATATCTCTCTATTGAATCGGTTCAAAATTGTATGCAAAGCGAAGAAAGAAAACAATTTATTTTAAAGATGCCGCCCTTGTGAGCACCAACATTTTATAACTGGAGATACGTTCTTTTTTTCTGTTCAGAATAGCGATGTTGGTAGTAAGAAAAATACAAAACGTTCCTTTATTCCAGATCAGATTATTTTGATGATTGCTAAAGACATCAAAGAAAGAAAAAAGGTACGGGAGAGCAAAAAAACTTAAAACAGCTTCGGTGTTGAAACTGAGTCTTGGTGTGAAGAAACTGAAGATCGGCGTTTTTCATAGGTTCAAATATGACTTCGTTGTGTCAAACAAAGACATTCTTCGCAACAGTTAACAACTGAAAATCGCTAGGCTAGCCAGTGAAGCTTGCTTTGGAAAAAAAGAAACAGCGTTCCTTATATATCGACTCTATTTGAAACATCATTTGTTATTATTTTGACAAACATCTTGACAA